CAGAAGGTATCAGGCTACCTGACACTTAAGTTTGAGTTCTTGAATGATAAGTTTTATGGTAACCAGCAAACCAGAGGTTTTTTTATGTCTCTGGTAAGGGGTTGTGTAAAATGGATCCCTTCTCGATCACCACATGTCCTAGAAGATGGGTAAGGGCAAATTCCATGTCCTTTTGTGGTCACTGTCTGTAATCAGCAGGACACGATTAGTTCCAGACTCACGTGGAATGGGTTAAGAAACAGTCTGAGGAATTTTACAGTGTCATCAAAGAGGTCATGGGCCCCTCAGTCTCCCCACCCCCCTCCCCAACACACACACACAGCCCTGCTCCCGGATACATGGTGCATTTGCGTTCATTAATAGGGCACTTTCCCCTTGCTGTTCTCTTAATAGAGCAAGTGGGAGCATAAGTTTGTTGGAAGGAGAGCAAGACAACTTCCTTGGGCAGGTAGCAGTTTGGGTTTGGATATTAACTGTTGATAACGCTTAGCTAGGAAAGCCAGCTGCCCAGCATCAGGGGACCACGGAGCCTGTGGAATGTTGTGAAAGAAACTACTAGTCTCATGGGAAGCTGGATTTAGGGGAAGTTCCTCTAGCTGGAAAGAGCAGGGAGCCCCTAGTCCCAACTAGCTTGATGTCCAGGCAACACAGGAGGAGCTCTTAATGTCATTTTCAGATAATGATCCAAAACCGGTGATTTGGGGCATTCTAGCTTCTCATTGGGAAAGAGGTCATTGAGTGGGCTTCAGGAATACCCACAAATTTTATACCAAATTCTGTTTGTGTTGTGTCTGCATTTTTCACAGCTTTTTTCAGATCCTTAAGGGATCTTAATTTCTTAAGGGAATTTTGAAACTTGACAAATCCCCAAAAGGCTAAGAATCACTGTTCTACATCCATAAGAGTTTTTTATGTCATGACTATAAATGTCAATATCAAAGATTGTAACATAATGTTTTAGAGACCCTCTTTAAAAAAACAACAAAAAACCCCACCTTTCAAGTCTTCTGGAGATGGTCTTTTGTTCTTTTTTCCTTTAGTTTTTCAACCTTGGAAATTGTCTTGGCAATTTGGACCAAAATCAGGGTTGATGTGCTCTAAGGCATGTGACTGCAAGTCTTGGGAGGGTCCTACCTTCTTACCTCCTCTAAGGTCTTTTTCAAAGGTGTTTGGCTGTTTCTGCTAGCGATTGCATTCTTACATGAATTTACACTAAGATTCCTTAGTTTGTTTGTATTGTCTGGCCAGGTCCACAGGCATCTTTGGATGCCACTCCAGTGGTGAGTCTGATTTGTTACCATGGGGATTCATGGGAAGATTCCAGACAATCCACAAGTGACCACTGTCTTCTTTTAAACCTTCTGGGATGGTGATGATGGAAGGAAGCTATCTGCTGCTCTTGTCTATTTCTATAGTCATTGGTGGTGTGGAATGTCTAAACATTCACCCTTAAGATTTTCCCTGAGGACTGTTAATTGATAACCCAAGTATGGATGGCTCTGTCGAAAAGTTTTGACTAGTTCTTATCACAAAGGCAATCTGACTGACATAAGACAGCTACACTGAGAGTATGTAGAAAACTGGTAGGTTGTGTATATGTTGGACTGGGTATACATGGTAGGAAACCCCTGGCATGGAAATCACTTCAATTTTCCTAAATCTCTATCTAGTTGTTCCACCACAAGAAAGCATTAAGCTTTACTTCCTGGGGATTTCTGCCCAAGTTTGGTCTCCTTCTAACATAAGGTGTTAATGTCTTATGTATAACATATTTCACAGTTAAGTTAGGATACGGAAAGGACAGTGTTTCAATAATCCTTCCCAACATTCAGCAGAGGACCTGGCACGTAACACTCAGCAGAGATTTGCATGATTAAGTTAATTCAGCTGCATGTTTCTGAGAACAAATCTCCAGAAGTCTGTTTTATTGGCCTAATGAGTGAATTCAAATATTCCTTTTTTTTCCACCCACTTAATGAAAACAACCTTTCCTCATATATTTAAGCAATACTTCAAATCTGAATTACCCTAAAACACATGACTGCATTTTAAATTTCATTTGTGGTAATAACAAAAGGGATTATAGTAAATTCTGAAACTGATACCCATGTTGGAGGCAACCCATGATAGCAAGGGCTTCTCTAACTGTAGGCTAACCCTTTTTGAGGGACGTTTTAGACAACATTGGAACCATAGCATATTCATATTCGTGTAACAGTGATTTGCTCTGAGGGTTCTGGAATACTGAAATCTCTGCCATGTAATGATCTGAAAGCTCGGGTGTGGGAGCTGATAGGGGACTTCAAACCATGTTCTTAGTTTAGAGATGAGGAAACAGGTCCCATTCTGCTACTAATCAAAATGTGACAATCAGACTTCCATCCACTGTTTTTCTTTCACCCTAAGTGGAAACCTGTACTACTAGAGTGTTTGTGATCAAGGAGATAATAAGTGAAAATACTTTCTGTGTCTTTTGGGAAGTCTTTCTGAAGACTTATATAAAGCCAGTGTATTTATCCTTGATAGTTCTAATTTGAATAGGGTCTCTTTGCCACACCCTATTCCCTGGTTCAGTGAGTTCCCATAGCATTTTGTTCTGGAGTAGAATTGAACCAGAAGGATCTTAGATTTCTCCTTGTTCACCTAACCCATTTATGTATTTGTGAAGTGCTTATTGTGATTCCAGGCACTATACCTAATATGACTTGGGTGAGTATGAACCTGCTGCTTAGCAAGTTACATTAGGTCTCTCTGCTTCAGATTCTTCATCTATAAAACAATAATTACTTTAAAGGATTGTTTTTGAGGATAAAATGAGATGATACATACAAAACATTTAGCATAGCACCTGGCACCTAGTAAATGCTCAAAACAGCATTTTGCAGATAAAGTAATTGAGAGGTCAATTTTTCTTTCTTCTACATTTTTTATTTCTAGGAAAAACAAAAGTGACATTTTCTTTGGAATCTAGGCCATGTGTATTTATCTGTGTCTGTCTCGAAGTCTACTTGTTGAGGTTAACTGATGGTCATGGCCCAGTCACTCTGGAACATCAAAAAGTTAACTTCATCTGCTCACTGCCCTACAGACAGACTAAATGCATGTGAATGACAGCCAGTTCCACCTAGTGGTGAGGAGCCTGATCTTGTCCCAGATCCCTTTCAGCGTAAAATCCTTTAATGGTTCCTATGGTCTTTGGGATACAAATTCAACTTAGCACAGTGATCTTACCTCTGCTTTTCTCTTTCTGGGCCTGTAGCTTGCCACCTACATTGTGCTTTATGTTTCTGTCATATTTAACTATTTGATGTTCTTAAATACCCTGATTGTCATAGTTTCCCAGCTCCACAACTGCACATGCTATTTTTGTTTTTTAACCTGGGATGACTATTACTCTCCACTCAATTTTTCCACTGCACACATGACATGTAGACACAAATGGAAAGGTGTTTTCTTTGTTCTCATAGTACCTGATGTGCATTTCATTTTTTTGGCCATGCTGCTTGACTTGTGGGATCTTAGTTCCCTGACCAGGGATTGAACCTGGGCCATCAGCAGAGAGAGCACAGAGCCCTAATCACTGGACCACTAGGGAAGTCCCCCAATACGTATTTATCAGTACACACCACGTTGTTTTCCCACTTTGTGTCTCCCCACCAGACTGAGCCCCTTCGCATCTGAATCTGCTTTCTATCTTTCTGTCTCCAACAGCCAGCCCAATGCCTGGCTCAGAACAAGCAACCAAAATATGAATGACTGAATGATATAAAACAGACTTGGGTAAGTTGGTGGTTGAACTAGGTTATAAGTCTATATTTTTTATAAGATTTAAGTAGCTCAGTTGGTTAAAAAAAAAAAAATCACCTGCAATGCGGAGACCCAGGTTCGATCCCTGGGTTGGGAGGATCCCCTGGAGAAGGAAATGGCAACCCACTCCAGTATTCTTGTCTGAGAAACCTCATGGACAGGAACCTGGCAGGCTATAGTCCATGGGGTTGCAAAGAGTTGGACACGACTTAGTGATTAAAACACAAAAGGTAGTGTGTGAAGAATGCATCTACCCAGTTAGCAGACACATGATGGCAAGTTTGCGAGCAGCAAATTGCAAAATATCTGAAACTGCAGGATTGCTGAGTGATCTGGAACTGAATTTGCACCAGTTCTTGGTTGGACTAGAAAAACAAAAAAAATCCCTGAAACAGTATTTCTCTGAGACTCAAGGGCTATCTGTCGAGTTCACTGGACCATGGCAGGTGCCATTATCACAGTAGCTTTCCGTGGAGCTGGGAGCCAGGCTGATGCATGGGCAGGTGGCTGTATGGTGGAAAGACTGGGGGAGAGGTGTTAGAAGACAAGGAAGTTGCAGGTGATAGTCAATATTCTGACACTACAGTATGGTTGCCCTAGAATTGCACTGCCTGCGTATGAATCTCACCCTAGTTTTATTAGCTGTGGCAACTCATATAATTCCCTCTTTGTCTTTCTATTTATAGACTAGAAGTCTAGTTTACCTACTCTAGAGTACCAATCTCTTGAGGTTTTAATGAAGATTAAATGAGATCACAGTTTCTAAAATAGGTGCTCAATAAATGTCAGTTATTATAATGTCAATTTACAGGTTGTGAAAAGAGCAAATGAGAAGGTCTCTGAGGTTAGAGACCATACCCATCTTACTCACAATTGTGTCTCTAGCACCTGGCACATAAATACAAGTTGTTTAGCAAATGTTTGTTGAATTAGTAAATGAGAGTTGGTCAGGCAGTTTTTCAGAGCTCTCTTAGTATGGTGGCTTTCTCTAGGATGTGACTCTCTGACAAAGCTGTTTCAGTTTAACTTCATGGTACCAGGGCTCTGAGTTTGCACAGCATGTTTTGTGACACTTGAAACTACACCAGAGACAGGCAGGAGTCACAGCATCACTGGGTCTCCTGCTGGGAAAGGGGCTGGGACCACGTCAATATTTGAGTCCCCAAAGACAATGCCAGCAGTACATCTGGAAGTGATGTTTCTATCTGAACATTTATTCCACAGTCATAGAAACTGAAGATGGAAAAGACCTGAGGACATCTAGTCCATCCACGTAATTGTACAAGAAAAGTGGCTGGAGCAAAACAGCCTGTTCACTTCATGCTCACAAGACAGCAGTTCAGTCCTTCCTGGAGCGGAGCGATTGCAAACACATTAAAATGAAAGACACAATGCAAACACTCTTTACAAACCTTAAGAAAATACTTATAGGTACGTTATTTTCAGAAAACAGGAACTAAAAGAATAGGGGCATCCTGGATTAGATGGACATGGGTGAGTGAAGAACAACTAAATGTGGCAGAGTGAAGTGGTTTTGATGACTAGATATCAGTCCCTTCTGAGGACTGGATGAATTTTCTGATTTGCCTATCAAAAATATGAGTGGGGAGGAAGAGAGGCTCTGTCGTTTTTTTTCCTTCAGTTTTTATCCACACCAAGGAAGGGCTCACTAGCCCCAAGGCTCTACCAGACCCAGCATCAGCACTGAGAAGTCTGTTGCCCAGATGGCATAGCTCTGTCCTGCTTGGCAGCTGCTCCACTTACCACTAATCTGGTGGGCACGGAAGCAACGACTCCCAAATAAGGTTTGTGCAACAAGATCTGTGGATAATGGAGAGTCGCCCCCAGGCATGTTAAAGACTTCACCCGGTTGGGTCCCTGTGGCTGCCTCACTTGTCTGGCCCAGACATTTATTCCAACATGTCTTCAATTGTTGGAGGCATCCCCCTGCTCCTTCACCTTGGGCATCCAAACTCTAGAGCCCTTGTTTTCATTATTTACATGAACCAGTAGCCCCGTCTGTCCCAACTCACTCAGTCCTATTCATTATATGCTTCCTGGACCAGGAATTCCCCCTTGTAAACAGGATCGGGTGTGTGACAGTGGGCCTGTTGTGTTCCTGGTTTCCCAACATCAGACCTTGGAAAAAATAGATCTGACCTCATGAAACAGGATCCACAGTAGGAGGCAAGTTAGAATCCCCTGCCTCTTTCCTCTTCACCAGAAAACTACCCTCCACCTGAAAACTTCTGATCTTTGTGTTTCTTGAGCCTGAGGGGAGCTGAGAGAAGAGGGGTGGAGCAGAACAAGGAAGGTTTTCAGAGGACCCACCATTTCATGAAATCTTTTTACAAAATACAACACACTTTCACAAATTGCAAAACACTGGTCAATTACTACTGATAAAAATAATCATTGCTACTTAACATGAAGACTGCTTCATTTCACCGCAAGCAACTATTCTTTGTTTTTCTTTGTCCAGAACATGGAGGCAATTCAAGCAATGCTGACAACAATAAGCCTGCTTTCAGCCCCTGCAGCTTCTGGCTGCATCCTGGCTGCAGTTTCGGCCACATAGTTCACCAGGAGATATTTGAGGAGCCATGCCCTGGTCATCTACTTTGTGGATGGGCAGGGTGGTCTGGCATGTTATCACCACTGCTCAGAATGCCTCAGGAGAGAAGCTTAAGGTAAACCTGATATACAAAAATCCAAACTTACAAAACAGATACATTAAGGGATAATTAATTGCATTACAAAAGGATTCTTTACAAAAGAATTCACCTCTGGGTTCCTTTAAGTAGCCAGCTTCTTAAGTAGTCAGAATTTGAGCTGAGTTATAAAAGTGTCCACGTACAACATTAGGAGCATGGCTGTTACATGAGTTGAGGTACACCTGTACGTCAGCCTTCCAGGCTGTGCAGAGGTTAGCAGTGCAGAGCGTGGTGGCAGAGTCTCGAGAGCATCCTTAGCTGTTGCAGGTGGGATTGGATCGCTAAGGGGCATAGTCTTCCAAAGGCAGCTGCAAACCTGCTTCTGGGTCTGGGGTGAGAACGTGGGAGGGTGGGCATTTCAAAACAGAGTTGTCCTTTCTGTTTCCAGGGCTCACTGTCCCCTCATTGTTGAATGGTTTCATCTGTGACGTTGATAAAGTCTAACATTAGAAGAACCCTACCTCATCAAAATCTCTAAGCCTATATACACCCCAGGGGTTTCTCAGACAACTAACTAATTGCTCAAGTGTTATCTTACTTGCAGCTTGAAGTGTTATCTTTCCCTGGGGCACTGGGCAGCTCTTGGTGGGAATTCAGGGATTGCATCCAAAAGTAGGGGAAGAAATTTTGCATTTAAGGAGCTTTTGCAGTGATCTGCAACTTACAGAACATAGTGCTTGGCACAGTGCTCAGTCATTGTAGGTTTCAAATTGATTGGGATGGAGCAAAGACGATAAGCAGCTGAGAAAATAAAGCAAGGAACTGATAGACAAGGAAGTCTAGTCTGACATGGTGCCCTGGGGTGAGAATGGTTGTGTGGACAGTGAATCAGCAGGTGTGTGCTGAAGACTTCTGAGAAAAGCTCATAAAAGTTTCTTCTCAATTCTCCTCATACCTTGGAACAGCCAAACTTCTAGAACAGTGTTTTTCGAAGAGTCATTTTTAGACCACATGTCAGTCACGTGGCGGTGTCAGTAACAGGAGGTTTCTGAGCCCACACCCACCTCCTTTCCCACCTCATCCTTTGGGAATGAGCCCTGGCAGTCAGCACCCTAATGAGATTGGGTGATCAAACCCTAGGGGATTGAGAATTGTTCTATAGTGTCCATACTCCTTTCCCATTCCGCATGTCCAAGCCTTTATACACTGGGAAAGGGATGCGTAGGCACAGGGGAAACCGCTTACTCATATCAACCATTACATAGGGTTTGCGGGAGAATCAGAGGGACCAATGCCTGTTCACAGTTTCTTACAGATGAGGGGGTACGAGGCTGCAAGACTGACTTGGTAGGGATCCATAGAGATATGAAAAGCACAAGGCACATTCCTGAAAGCTTAAGCTTGTGATGTACACAGTCTTGAGGTTCATCTCTGGGAGTCCTACAGCTAAGACATAGGTGACTGCTGATCTGAGAACAGCCCAGTACATGGCTTGCAGAACATCTCCATTAACCCACAGTACCAGCTCACATGTCCTATGCAGGCAGTTAGCAGGAATATCCCAGTCTCATCCTAAGGTCACAGCCTTGCCTTGTTTCTGTCTCTCTTTTGCTTTATAAAAGGCACACACTATAGTGTAGATGCTTAGCTAGAAGTAGAGCCCTATTCATTCCTTAGCAAACTTTAATTTTGTTCAAAAAGCATGGTGTACATTTTAATGCCTCATCTGCTCATCCTCTTCCTGCTCACTGCATCTCTGTCCCCTTTCATAGTGGAACATGTAAACATGTTCCTACCCAATGTTAGGATGGTGTCAGAGATCCAGGACCCTTTTAAAACCAGGGCTCTTGCCTGATCCAGTCAGTCATCAGCCTGCTGTAATATGAATGAGTTCAGCCGACTTTTCTAAGTGCCCACCTCCCCATCCCAAGTGTCTCTAGCTCTTCCCTGGCTCCCCATTCAGACTGTGGGGACACATCTAGACTGGGGAGCTGTAGCAAAAGTCACAGCCCTGAATAACCCTGCTCTATATTAAGATTTGGAAAGGGAAAGGCTACCCACTCCAGTATTCTGGCCTAGAGAATTCCATGGACTGTATAGTCCATGGGGTTGCAAAGAGTCGGATACGACTGAACGGCTTTCACTTTCATATACTAAGATTAAAACCAACAACCCAAGAAGACACAGATACGGTTAACACTTTTATCTCTTATAGTTGATAGTGCACAGAATGGGCTAAAAACCAGAATTAGTAATGTGGCACCTGGTGAAAAGGTTAACAGGAGCTGGGGTTGTCTGGTTTTTCACAGATCCCTCACATGGCGTTTAATCCTGACTAAGATTTCTGCTCTGAAAAACACACCTACCCAGGAGACCTAGGAATGAGCTTGAGAAGACTGGCCGCTGCTTTGCAGGTGAGGGAGAGCACACTTGACCTCTTAAGAAGACCCAAACCTCAGCTTCCCCCCGCCTTGGTCAGTAGTTACAAAAGAGCATTACAAAGTGTCTCAAGGGCTCAGAGGAAGGCCAGGAAGTGAGAGAGCGGAGCAGCATGGCCACTCAGGGCTCACAAGTTCGAGTTGTCCTCTGATACTCTTCCAGCTCCGTTTTCCGGCTCACGGCCAGCTGCAGCTCCTGGCGGATCACCTGAATCTGCCTCTCCAGCTCCGACAGCTCTTGCATCACTGAGTTCCGAGCCCCGCTGTGGGAGTCTGCTTTCCCGTTGGTGCTCAGCGAGGCAGGGAGCTCTCGTCTCCTTGGCGGGAGAGGAATGTCCTGGTGGGTCCGGATGCCCAGCTGGTGTGGTCCTCCCTCCTCATTAAAGATGTACTTTCGTCGATTGTCATGACTCAGGTTGGAAGTATTCCACACACTGAGGTGACGGGGCCCCACACTGGACCTAGGAAACCAAGAGACACTTTAGATTGGACTTCTTTAGATTCACTTCAGTTCTGCCCATCTTTCAGCCACTTCCTTGTGAATAATACAGAGCTGGATATGCAGACAGAGCTGCAGTCACAAAGCCATGGACAGACTACCTGCTGGAGCATCAGGGGGACAAAAGGAGTTCTTTTCAACTGAAGTTCAGCTTCTCAACAAGTCTCATGTTGCCCTGACGCTAGAATGGGTGTATCACCCGGGGGGCTGATGAACCAGGGTATGGCATGTTCTTTTATGAAGCACCTTAGATGCTTTTCTATTCTCTTCCTGCCAGTGAGGCTCAGAAAGCCACACTGCATTGAAACAGTCTATGGCTATAAAGTTGATGCTTTGGTAGATGTGAAATTCTGTTTATTCAGCTTTTGGACTCTAAGCATGGTCCTGCTGGTAGACACTCTAATATGACTCATCCTTAGTCCCCTAGGACAACCCTGATGTTTACTAGTTGAGTTTGAGGAGAATAAAAGCATACGACCTGCAGGTTTCAGCAAAAAGTGTCCCATTATAGAGATGACTTTGTGAGTTGAGAATGACAGCTGAGATTTGAAGCTTAATAAAAAAAATACCCAAGAAAGCCTCAAATTCTTGCTGGGATAATGAAAGTCAAAGAGAAATACATTTGCAGTCCTCTTTCAGGCTCCTCTTAAACCAGCTACCACCATCCCTGAGATGGCTGTAGATAGCAAAAGAGCTATTGATGGCTAGGTTCAGGAGGAAGGGGTCTGGTTTTTGAAATACACTGACAGCCAGATGCAGTGAGCAGAGTTTCTTGTTACAAGAACAGATTAGAGCCTTAAGCACATGACTGCTGATTTCTTCCAGCCTTGTTGAAGGAGGCAAAGGAGGAGGATTATGATCACTTTTGCAGTCTACCACAGGGCAAAATAAAACAGAAACATTGTATTAAGCCCTTGTGTCCTTGTTCTCATCCATGTAACTGAATCAAGACTTTATTCCTGGACTCTTACTAACAAGAAGGAGAAGGGGAGGACCTGCAGTGGAAGGGGAAAGGGGAGAGATAAATGTTGATTCAGTTATGTGGACAAGAACAAAAACCCAAGGACTTAATAGGGTGATCCTGTTTCACTTTGCCCTGTGGAAGATTGCGAAAGTAGTCACAATCCTTTGTTCTTCCTTTCATCCATTTCCCTCTGTAATGTAACTTCACAGCTCATCCTTATCAAGGAGGGTTCAAGGGGAAAGTCTGTTTTCTCTTCCCCTTGAATTTGTCCTGGTCTCATGACTTGTCCTGGCCAATAGAAAGTGGAGAAGTGGCAGGTGGCAGTTCTAAGCCTCGCAAACTTCCACTGCCTCTCTCAGAACCCTGCTGCTCCAGTGGAACCAGTCCAGACTGGCCTGCTGGGTGATAACAGACCATCAGAGAGAGTCCCCAGATGCTCTGGTTGACCAGCTGAGGCCATCCTAGACCAGCCAGCTCTCTGTTTCTCCCTCCTTCCTCACAAGCTGGCTGTAGGCAAAGGAGCAAATGTGGCCATGATCAGCCAAGTTTGACACAGACTGCACAGCTGACCCAGAGATTCATAAGCAACTCACTGTTGTTTAAAACATTATGAGTTGAGGCAATTTCTCTCACAGCAAAAATTGGCGATACATGCCCCCAGCCATTAAAACACACAACACCTTCTAAGCCAATCTGCAGTTCTTTGACATTCCTCATGTTTTAAGTCTCATATAAATGAACAGGGGGCACTGTAACACAGGTTTCCTATGTCCTGGGCTGGGTACAATTTTTATAATGAGCCCACTTACAGCTCCATTGACTTTATACCAGGTCAGAGGTATGGTTATAATTTTCCTCCTAGCCTTACATTTTCCTTTCTTTCTTCAATTTTTTTCCTATTGAATTTGAATAATTTTGAAACAATCTTGTTATTGGTATGTGTTATTGTATATATGGTTTACGATTTGTATAACTTGAGGTGAGAGGAAAAGAGAAAAGAGGAGGTATATTGGAAATCCAGTGGAGTGAAGGACAGACCAAAATTTACATGAAATCACATGCTGAATAAACTAAGGACTGTGTTTGTGTATATATATACACACACAGTCTTCTGCAATATCTACTTTTTTCTTCTGCTTTAAGTAAAAAAGGAGCAATATCTATTCATGCCATGGCCCCCAAATTTCTCCAGGCCTTTCCTCAAACCCATGTGTTAGTAATTCATTCATTTATCTATTATTGTATTTACTCAATCAATATGGAACATAGAGGAGGAATGTAAAGTTGTACCAGATAAAGATATTTGCACAGATACTCTTGCAGAAAAAAAAGAGAGAGAGAAAGTTTTAGAGCCAAGAGACCTAACTCGAAGATCATGGGATGATTCATCGTGGGGAAAACCTGGGAGTTACGCATCAACACATTTCCTGGAATGTCAGGCAACCTCAGAAATCAAACAAATAGAAAGAGCCAGTCTAGTTTTCTCCGGAGCTTTGTGTATATATCTGGGAACATAATATAGAATAATAAGCAAAAATTGGACTCCATGATAGGTGATAGGTGGAAGTATCATTAGTGCTCTGATGACTGATATGTGGCTCTGAGCCATTTATGAATGCAAGGTAGTAGATACTGAATGTCAGATGGGGTGTCTAACTAGAAGAAATGAATGTGTTATATTGTTAGCCTCTACAGTGTTTCAGCTGTAGTTTGTAAGCTTTCCTGAGAGTTAGAGTGTAAAGTGACTAGTGAGTTGAGTGAATTTAACACTAAAAAGTTTTCACAGGGCAATTTTATACCTTTGAGGTTCAATACTCCACTAGACCATTCAGAAGAGACGTGACATCAGTGGGCTCCCAAACACTCACTGCATTTGAAAGGTTACAAGTGGGTGTTGGGTTGTAGGGAGGTGGCATAGGAAATATGGGCCCAATAAGCCATGAGGACATGTTGTCTTAGCTCCTTCTCAAAAATAAGGGATTTCAGAAGGGAATTTGCCAAAAAAAAAAAAAAAAAATGGATATGTCGAGTGAAAGACACATTTGGTTGTGAATTTAGGCAAGAGAGATGTGAATAGGAGCCATATCACAGTTGGAAATGGGATCATCGGCAGCTTCCTCTTTCTATTACGGCCAGAGAACACATGCTTTGTTATTGTGAGATGCTGTCTTTGTTGCTATGCCTTCTTGTGTTCCTCTCTGGTTAAACATTTATGTTAAAAATAATTATAGAAAAAAATATATACAACATGTAGAAAAAAAAAAATACATAACACGACACAGAACAGCTATGACCCGATTAGCCTGCAGCTTGTTGCTGACAGGGCCACAATGTGATACAAGAAGATCACAGACCATGTTGGGGGGAGGGTGTGCTCACTGCCTGGAAAGAGAGGCTGTAAGAGATAGCTGAAATGATTCCGACAAGCTCGATGCAAATTGCAGAGAAGGAGACTCCAGGGATCCCGGAGGAGATACAGATAATGAAAAAGAATCATGTTTTCCACTCCCTTTTTCTTGTCCTCCATTGCAAATGAGAAGTGTGAGTGTCAGATTTCAAAATTACCCAGAAAGCTAAGCCTGGAGCTAAGGATCTGCTGTAGATGATAGAGTTGCTTTGAGGTAATGCGGTGAACAGAGCCTGTGGACATAAGAAAAGACCAAGAGGCTGCCTTAGGCAGCAAGAAACAGGCCAGCCAGGTACCAGACCCAAATGCTTCTGACATCTCTAGCCACCACGAATGAGGCAACAGTTTTCCACAGGTTGGATGTGGGGAAGGTGCAAAGTTTCAATTTCCACATGTCAATTATGCATTTAATGCCTGTTACTTCCTATTAATGAGATGTTCTTTTCTGGGGAGCTTGCAGTAACAGTGCCAGGAAATGGATTAAGCAGAACATGTCTGTTGCATATTGCAAATATTCCTGGGAGTGCTGGAAAGGAGTCGGGAGTGGAAACATGCCAAAAGGGCAATATTGCATGAAATTAATTGCCTGTGGTACTTATGAATTTAGTCTTCTGTGTATTTGGTACACAATAAAATAGCTAAAATAGCTTTGTTTGGGGGGCTTTAGATGTATTATTTAATTCTTAGAATCTCTAGAAAGTAGGTACTCTATCTCGTTTTCACAAATGAGGAAATTGGGGTACAGAGAGGTTAAATAAATGATTTGCCTAGGACCACACATATTTTAAGTGTAGGAGTCAGGATTTGGAGCCAGATACTTGACCCTAGGGGGCTTCCCAGGTGGCACTAGTGGTAAAGAACTCACCTGCCAATGCAGGAGACCAAGAGACTCAGGTTCGATCTCTGGATCGGGAAGGTCCCCTGGGAGAAGGGCATGGCAACCCACTCCAGTTTTTTTGCCTGGAGAATGCTATGGACAGAGAAACCTGGTAGTCTAGAGTTCTAGGGTCGCAGAGTCAGACATGACTGGGAGACTTAGCATGCATGTATACTTGGGCCTAGGGATTACACTGGCACTTTTTTCACAACATCTATTGCCTCTACTGCATTTTGGTGTCCATCTATGTACAGACTTTTTTCTTTTTTTTTTTGTCTGTTCTATTTCTAGAGGAAAATAATAGAATGTGAAAGACTAGAGATCTCTTCAAGAAAATTAGAGATACCAAGGGAACATTTCATGCAAAGATGGGCTCAATAAATGACAGAAATGCTATGGACCGAACAGAAGCAGAAGATATTGAGAAGGGGTGGCAAGAATACACAGAAGAACTATACAAAAAAGATCTTTATGACCCAGATAATCACAATGGTGTGATCACTCANGATGAAGCACAAGCTGGAATCAAGATTGCCGGGAGAAATATCAATAACCTCAGATATGCAGATGATACCACCCTTATGGCAGAAAGCAAAGAAGAATTAAAGAGCCTCTTGAAAAAAGTGAAAGAGGAGAGTGAAAAAGTTGGCTTAAAACTCAACATTCAGAAAACATGAATACATGGCATCTGGTCCCATCACTTCATGAAAAATAGATGGGGAAATAATGGAAATAGTGACAGACTATTTTTGGGGGCTCCAAAATTGCTGCCAATGGTGACTGCAGCCATGAAATTAAAACATGCTTGCTCCTTGGAAGAAAAGTTATGACCAACCTAGACAGCATATTAAAAAGTAGAAACATTACTTTGCCAACAAAGGTCCATCTAGTCAAAGCTATGGCTTTTCCAGTAGTCATGTATGGATGTGAGAGTTGGACTATAAAGAAAACTGAACGCTGAAGAACTGGTGCTTTTGAACTGTAGTGTTGGAGAAGAAGCTTGAGAGTCCCTTGGACAGCAAGGAGATCCAACCAGACAATCCTAAAGGAAATCAGTCCCGAATATTCATTGGAAGGACTGATTTTGAAGCTGAAACTCCAATCTTTGGTCATTTCATGGGAAGAACTGACTCATTGGAAAAGACCCTGATGCTGAGAAAGGTTGAAGGCAGGAGAAGGGGACGACAGAGTATGAGGTGGTTGGATGGCATCACCGACTTAATGGACATGAGTCTGAGTAAACTCCGGGAGTTGGTGAGGGACAGGGAGGCCTGGCGTGCTATAGTCCATGGGGTTGCACAGAATTGGACAGGACTGAGCAATTGAACTGATTTCTATTTGAAACAACATATTTTTTACTTGAAACAACAATTTTTTAGAAACAACATATAAGTTGTTTCTCAACAACTTAGTCCTGATTTGATTTGAACTATTGTGCATAATTTCCCTCTTGAGCATGGAGTCTTAGTTGCATCTTTAAGCTTTTCACAAGCATACATGACACCTGGAACTGGCCTCTTCTTACCTCTTTTCCACACGTTTAGTCTTGAAACGCTGTTGTTTTTCTTCTACAAATGATGTGTTTAGTGCTCTGTGTAATCTCTGATGGAAAGAACAGATTCACACATAGAGATGGTTAGAAACACAGAACCAGGGCAGAAAGCACCCACTGAGATTTAATCTCTTTGCTACAGAACTTGACCTCTTTAAACAAATTACCAGTGATGGCAGAAAAAAAGATCAATATTCAGTCCCAAATCTCAAGAGAAAACAAATTTTAAGATAGTATTCTACCTGGAAGAAAATAATTTGATGGGACACTTAGAAATACTTTGAGTTGTAAAAAGGTCTGTGATATAAAGAAGAGTTGGGACTTCCCTGGTGTTTCAGTGCCTACGACTCCTCATTTCCAATGCAGGGGATCTGAGTTCGATCCCTGGTCAGGGAACTAGATCCCACATGCTGCAACTAAGAGACCACACACTGCCAGTTAAGATTCAGTGCAGCCAAATAAATAAATAAGAGTTATCATAACTGGGCTTCCTGGTGGCTCAGATGGTAAAGAATCTGCCTGCAATGAGGGAGACCTAGGTTCAATCCCTGGATTTGAAGAAGGGAATGGCTACCCACCCCAGTATTCTTGCCTGGAGAGTCCCAAGGACAGAGGAGCCTGGTGGGATTGCAAAGAGTTGGACATGACTAAGTGACTAACACACTATCATAACTAACATGTGGCACAGGACTTAATACAATTGCTAAAGGTGAGTCAAAACAAAGAAGGTAAGAACTCCTTAGAATTAAACTAATCACACTGATTTATAATGGAGAGGATCAATTGTCTGCAGAGTCTTCCTTAGGAGACCAAATACATCCTAGGATGAAAGTAGGAAGAACAGGGCTCACATGTAACCAAACCAATGACAGTGACCTCTATAGAAAAAAAGCACTGTGATAAAGAAGAGAGCCGCATAACAGATGCAGGGGGCAGAGGTGGCAGAACTGGCAGCCTCACTGCTAAGAAGCAGTGACGGTGTGCTGGGAGGCAGGGGGGAGCCTGTCCAGGAGGTCAGGTTAGCTCCTCCGGCCTCGCCCCTCCCTGCACTCAGGGGGAAACTGCTGTCTTTGCTAGAGCCCCTTCATCAGTACTTCCCCGGTAGCTCTGCTGGTAAAGAATCCGCCTGCAATGCAGGAGACCCTGGTTTGATTCCTGGGTCAGGAAGATCCCCTGGAGAAGGGATAGGCTACTCACTCCAGTATTCTTGGGCTTCCCTTGTGGCTCAGCTGGTAAGAAATTCACCTGCAATGCGGAGACCTGGGTTCGATCCCTGGGTTGGGAAGATCCCCTAGAGAAGGCAAAGGCTACCCATTCCAGTATTCTGGCCTGTAGAATTGCATGGACTGTATACTCTATGGGGTCACAAAGAGTTGGACACGACTGAGTGACTTTCGCTTTCACTTCATCAGTAAGAAGCCTTCTGAGTATATTTCAGCTCTCAATGCCTGTTTCCATCAGGCGAGATGTACAAAGGAGTGAGCTTGAATGACTGTCTGCCTGACAGCTTTAGTTCTCCCTGTCGGAGAGTGCATAGATATTTGGACAACACGAAGGAACTTTGATCTAGAGCTTGGCCATGACATCAGTGGACTTCTAAGCTCTGGACCATTGAAATGCAGCAAGAGCAGGGACCCGAGAGTTCATCTGAAGGGAAACAGGTACTTCAAGATCATTTAATGGGTTTCAATTTTGGCAAGAAAGATTCTAAAGGAAACAAATCTTTCACATCATCTCTTCAGACTGTCACTAAGTGAAATCATGTTAAAAACAGTGCCATTGCAATCTCAAAACCACGTGCATTTAAACACTTCCTATGTTTCCCTGTGATAAGCTAAGAGAAATAATGGCTATTGTTTCTAAGGCATTTACAGTCTATTTAGCCTATTCTATTAGATCCTACTGGACACAATTTGAAAATGGATTTAACAGTTTTATTTTAAAAAGTCAATATTTCCAAAACACTGGAAATTATACTTCTTGCAACTAACTACTTACAACAAAACATTTAAACAACAACAACAAGGCTATTGCTTCCACTCTGAGCAACAGTGGTAGGTTATATGCAAGGAAAGGGCATTATGGGACAGCTTAATTTAAGGGGCAAGTGCATTAATGGGATAGAGGGAATTCCATCTTGTGTATTAAGAGTGTCTACACCACCTGGTTCTCTTAATAACGTGTCATTTGTCACTCTGACTTGAGGCCTTGGATTCTCCCATTATTGGGAATTCTGATGCTTAAGAATATTGGAGGGAGATGCCCGGTGGCACTCACCTGACTGGTGTGGAGCCAGTATTGCAGCCTAGATTTGTTCTTGATGCGTGGCAGCAGCAGCCTGTATACTATGTGCTCACCAATGGTGGTCAAGATGGACAGACCAAATCCAATGCACAGCAGCATGAAGAGTCCAGAGAAGTGTTTGATGCCCATCTGCAAAGTCTGGGGGCAGAACAGAAAAGAAAGGTCATGAATGGGAGGCTCCACCTGGTCCCAGGCTTGTTCACTCTTAGCTGCACATCCTTTTTTGCTGGACCCAAGGAAAGCTGGAGACGGTTCCTCTGTGCGCTCTGCGGATGTCACTATACTACACTGTGAAGGGGATCCAGCCAGGACTGAGGGCTGCTGCAGGGCACAGTTCCTGGAGGTGTTACTCACATACACTGCTATTGTTTGAATGGTTCCTGGAGTCGTGAAGAGGCTCTGGGTCTAGAACATGCTATAGTGTCAAAAGAGACACTGAGAGATAGACGTAGAGACTGAAAATTGAAACCATCTAGTATATTAAAACATTGAAAAATTATCAAGGAAAGAATCTCTCCCAGGGACAGAGAGTGAGTTAGATTTAAGGGGAAAAGATGATGAGCACAATAAAAATTTTCATTTAGATCTGACAGGGAACATGGATAGGATATCATTTAGTTCAATGTCCTCATTTTAAAGATGAGGAACTTGGGACCAGAAAAGTGAAGGAAGTTGAGCTAGGTCACAAAATTAGACAGCCACAGAGGAGAAAAAGAAGGGACCTACTTGTTGATTGCTTACTATTTTTTTGTGCATAGATAGCTATTATAACTACAGTTTACAGTTGAGGAAACTGAAGTCTTTGCAGCTTTTAAGTGACAAAGCTGGCCTATAAGTCAATGTTTGTTTAGCTCCAAAGTTCAGGTTCTTTCTACTCTACAACAAGAGAAAAATAGCAACTATAAAAACAAAAAAAAAAATTTTTTTTTAAATCACTTTAACACCTGTGACAGGCTAAAGGATTTACAGGCAGTCTCTACAAAATACGTATTCAGACACTGACATCGATGACCAATCAATCCAGAAGAAAGACATTTGATTCGTTGAGTGCCTACTATGTGGGCACAGGTAGTCGCCCAAGTACCAGGGGGTAGAGATAGGACGGTTATGTCCCTGCCTTCAATCAGCTCAAGTCTAGGGAGAAAGCAAACATTTATATCCCATGATACCTGCTTCCCAGGTTTTGCAGAGAAGATGGCTCATGAGATAAGACTTAAAGTGAGATAGGTAGAATGTGGAGGCTGGTTGGGAAAGTAGCACTCTAAGCTGAGGGCAGCAGAAACGAATGTGACAAAGACACGAACTTCCAGCACACTGATCTGCGGGCTTGTGAGACAGATGGCTGTGCTCGGGGTGGGGTGCAGAGGCCCTGCATCCTGAGGGAGAAACAGGCCAGCCCTAGGCAAGGCTAGATTAAGCACCTTACCCAAGATCATACAAGCCAATGCTAAGGACCCCGAGTGTCATCCCTTTGCTGGAGGCTTTTGGTCATTATCATCATTGATAATTATTTAGCATTTAACATGTGGAAGGTGCAGTTCTGAGCACTTTATCAATGTAGGAACTTGCTTAATTTTCCCAACGACTTATGAGGGAGGTACTATCTCCATTTTACAGGTGAGGAATCTTAGGAACAAGAGTTAAATGACTCATCCAAAGTCACATAGCTGGTAAAGGTCAGAGGGGTTCACACCCAGGCAGGTAGGCTGACTCCAGAGCCTACACTCTTAACCACATCATTTCACTGACATGAGTGATCCACCCATCCTCTTGAAGGAGTTTTCCTTTCTTTCACTCTCCTCTCCTCTGACCCCAGTCCTGGAGAAGCAGGCAGGCAGGATGGCTCAGGCATGGCTAGACCTCCCAGTATGCCAGGAAGTCTATGTGGGGGACCAGGCTCAGAGGCAGCACTTGGAGATTTCAAGCTTTGGGGGAGGCTGGGCCATGGAATCTCTTTTCCTCCATGATGCTACTTTTGGCAATGGCTCTGGACCAAACTTGTGTGTTAGGATCCTTGGAGAAGGAAAGACTAGGGGTGAGCAGGGGCAGAGAGCATCCCCCAGGTCCATGAGACTGGGGCATCTGAGAGTGAAAGAAGCCCAGCCTTCAGGAACAAGGGATGCTGGTGTAGGAAAGGTGAGCAGTTTATCAGACCCTGAGGGGTGCTCAGTTACTAGAGCTTTTCCGGGGACATCTCTGTACATGTGATGACCAACCTGACCTTCACAAAGTATATACAAATGTGTTTGAAAATAGCTCTCGGCCTGGACCTGTAATAATATGTACAGGATACAGCTATTACAGGAGGATTCAATGAGTTACTACTGCTGTGGATGAAGAACACGCTGGGCAAATTCATTTGGGACTTTAACAGCATCAAACACTCAGCAAAAGACTAAACAGACTGGCACTGCTTCTTATAAAGTGCTGCCAAGATGAAGAAGAAAAATGTGACATACAGTGAATCATACTGCTTTTAAACCCTGGTGTTCCCCTCTGTTATCTTGTGCATAACAATAATTAGTCTCATTTTCCTCTTATTATCCCAATAACAAACAGGCTATATCCAGTTTATTTGACACACTTCTTTCTTTAAATTTCCATTGTTTACACCCACATATTAATAGACTAATAGAAGCAGTTGCTGTTTTTTTTTTTTTTTAAATTAGACATCTGTGTGCCAGACACCATACATGCATATTAGGATCTGATAATAGTATTGTAAGTTAAGTATTATTATCCCCATTTCATATTCAAGGAAACTGAGGTCCATTAACTCTATAACCAATGTCATACAAGTTAAAAAATAGGAGGCCAGGCTATAGATCCAGGATTGTCTGATGCGAAAGCCTGAGCTACCTTGAAGCAAATACCCTTCAGAGGCATCTCTTGCTGTCTGAACTCGTACTGTCTATTCCCTGTTACAACTTGCAAAAAATTTTATCCAAAACTCACCCTCTGGATTGCAAATCCCCTATAATCTGCCTTTGGGCACCAGTGAAAAATGCTTATACTGTGTCTGAGTCTGACTGATAAGATGTACTGCTACAGTTGTAATTCAGCTGTTCTTCTCCGAGGACCACACTGCTTCAATGTGCTATGCATTAAATATATGCATTTGTCCCACATTATCAAGTGAAACCTTTTTGTCTGATAGAGTGGAACTTGCTCAACTTGACATTTATCATCGGTCAGAGGAAGAAGAAGAGGAGCAATGAATATTCAATGTCAAATCTTTAAAATAAATTTAAGTGATGCAGACAAAATAATGATTACTGTTGCAAGTGACATGGATAGAAGCATCATATTCAGAAATGCAATCACAGCCTGGTCTCACGTTGTTGAGAGCTGTATAAGTGAAAGCAATGAAATGTGAGTGGAATTTTTTTTTTTCTTTATCCCATTGCTTCATCTTCAGCTTCATTTGATAGCTCACAGCCACACACTTCTGGAGTCTCAAGAGCCAAGGAGAGAAGACTGTCTCAGGATTTAGCCATGGGCAAATATCAGGCATTTATGGCTTCACTCAGTCCTTCACAGGCTCATTCTAGCCCATCTAGTCTCTCCCAGTTACCTCTTTAATCAATAGGTAACCACTCAAAAAATTGCCTTGCTTGCTTATTTTATTTTGCTAAATGTTATTTGTACTCGTTTTATTTTTTTAACATTTTATCTTATTGTTCATTTACATGAACATATTCATTGCATTGTGGAGGGCAAGCATACTCTGTATTATGCACGCATGGATACCCACTGATTAAGCATTAAAGAACTGGTATTTTAAATGGTTCATATTATGTAGAAATCATTGGTGGATTGTCATATATAGCAATCCATGCCTTGTACATTAGATATTAAACACTAAAAAATGTCTAAGTATGTTTTAATGAAATTTAGGGAAACTGGTTGGGCTTTTTGGATAAGGTGGAAATGTTTAATTTATTTATTTTGTCTCATACAAGATAATGGAAAAGACTCTCACCATCTGGAAATCTACCAGCCAACATATTTCTAGGTACAGACTAGATTCAGATAAAGGGTGATGCCTATACTATCAAAGATTCTGAGTGGTCTTTGTTTAGATCATTAGTGCTTCCAGTGACATAAAGAGGCCAAGACCACCAATTCTGTTGCTGCTAAACCCTCTTCTGCCTCTTGCTCGGTTGTGGGTCCTTGAAACATCTGACAGATGGTTAGATGACTGACTAGGTTCTGAAAATCCAGCAAGAAATGCAGCTAGACTATTTGAGTCATCATTTGCCTCAGATGTTACTGGTTAAATCCTATAATCTAAGTCTCCCTAGCTCCCAGTCCACATCTTCCAACATACAGCAGCTACCCAATTTCTCTGGTCCTTTAAAGAATCTGTACTCATTGTTTTCAATTCCTCTCCTCTCATTCTCTTCTGGACCCACTCCAATCAGGCTTTCAATTCCTGGCTTAGGATTCTGTCAAAACCAACAAAGGCCATCAAATCCAAGAGTCAGTTTTCAACTTATTCATGTATCAGCTTGGAAACTTATTTCATCCTCTTTGATATATTTTCTTCACTGTTTTGGGGAATCCTCTCTCCTTGTTCTATATCAGCCTTGTCTGCTGGTTCCTCCCCATCCTTCTGACCTTAAACACTAGCATAGCTTCAGTTCTTTAGTTACATTCACTTTCTTATCCAGACCATGTCTTTAATACCATCTATTTACCAATGACTTCCAAATTTATATCATTCCCAACTCCTGACTCAGCCTGTCTACCTGGATATCTAGTAGAATCTCAAAATGACACATCAAAATAAACTCCTAATTTTCCTTATGAGACCTGCTCTTCACACAGTCTTTCCCATCTTAGTAAATCTCCATCCTTGCAATTTCTCAGGCCAAATAGCTTAGATTCCTCCCTTTCTCTAGCATCCTGTACTTAGCATGTCTGCAAATACATGTGGTGGATGCTGGTGGATGCGGTGGACGCTGTCTGCAAAGTATGTCCAGAATCTGATGACTTCTTACCATCTCCACCAACCACCCTGGTCCAAGTCACCATCGTCTCTCACCTAGACTACAGAAATAGCCTCTGAATTGTTCCCTGACCCCTTCAGTCTGTCATCTGCAAGGCAGCCAGGATAACTCAAAATATGTCACTCC